AAAAAAAAAAGAATTTTTTTGAATTTAATTATAATATTATTTTATTAAAAAATGTATGGTTGATAAAAAGATAAAAATAAATTATAATTTTAATAGGGTCAAACGTTGTATTAATTATGTAGGAGATTCCCTCAAACGAATACGAATACGAGCGTGGGCCTTGTCCATGGATGTATATATACACATATAAATACACTTTCTCTCTCCTCTGTCTTTCTTTCTCTAAAACGTTAATATGCCTTCTCTGTCCCTCATATGTACCCCTTGTCCATTTTGCTTCTTGTTCTGTAACACTAAAATAAACCTCTCCAACGCTCGAAAATCTACACGCACTGCAGCGAGAATGAATCGATCCTATGTTTATGTATATAATTGAAGAGAAAAAGAGAGTTTGAGGAACTGATTAGATTTTTATTTTTTGTTTTTAATTTGAAAAATTGTGCTAAAGAAGAAAAACTGAGATCTTCATACAAATGTTCTTCATTTTGTGGCAAGCAAGGTAAATAATTGTTAAATTTAAAATAGAATTAAATTTGAAAATTTAGTTAACTTAATTTTATTACGCTAAGCTGAAATTTTTATTTTATTTTCTTTTTGGGTTTGAAAATTACGTTTTTGGTTTTGTGAAATTTTTAGATGATTTTTGGACTAGGTTGTTTGAAAGCATTTTCTTTTCTTTCGTCTTTGGTGAGAAGTAACTATTTTCGCCTTTTTGTTTTGCCAAAAAGGGCCTTCAATTAATTGAATCGGAATTTTCTTTTTCCTTTTTTGTAGGTTAGGGTTTTGGTACTGAGATGTTGGTTTACTGATGGTTAATTTTAGCTAGGGTTTGGAACTAATCAGATTGCTGAGGTGCAGATTTTAAATTGGAATTAGGGGTTTGATTGAGGATTCAATTGGAAATAGAGTTTTTCAGTGGCCTTTCCTGGACGGATCCCATTTTGCAGATCAAGAAATTATTGCCAGTTGGTTTTGATCATACGAGGGAGTGAGTTCTCAAACCTACTATAAATTCCAGCATTTTAATTGACTGGGAAGTTGTCATTTTTGAAGGATATGGAAGAGGATTGTTCATATATGTAAATGCTTTGAGCTGGGGATTGATTTTAGGTAAATTTTGTTGACAAGGCCGAGGAAGAAAAGTAATAAAAATTAGATGCCATTGGCTTACTAGGCAAGCCAGAAGATCATTTATTAGCGACCATTTTTCTTTCTTAAGAAACCTTTTGGGTTAGCTTGGTTTCTAGGTGGAAGTTTAGCTGCAAAAGCTTTAAATTCAGCATTTATATATTTGGAGTTTGCTTAAAACAATGTTCATATAGTTACTATTTATATCACACTCTCATTTGGCATTGAGTATCGATAAGATTTTTGAACTTACACTTGTGTTTCGGAGCTAAGAGGATTTTAAGTTGGAAGGTAACGGATGGATTTTGAGTAAAGTGTTAGTGAGCAGAAGTGGGTGTGGGTGTTTGGACCAGTGGATAAATGAGTTACATGAACCAATAGTGAATCCGCAATCAATGTGGTGTAATGGTGCATGGACAGGAATATAATCAAAAGTCTGTTCCTATGTTGGAACGCTGTTATGTGGAAATAACACAAGCATATTTTCTTATCGGCTCTAATCATTTTGCATGTACTAGGACACTGTGCAATGTCTCGCTGCTTCCCGTTTCCCCCACCAGGATATGAAAGAAAGCAAAGACCAGAAGACTTAGAGATACTGAAAGTGGTTAGTTCATTTTTCCCTTTCCTGCTGTGATTTTGTTCCTGCTCTATGAATTTCATGTAGTTATTACCTATTTCTAGATATGTTTAGATTTGATGTATACATGGATTTAAAGTTCTACGAATGTTATGCTCCTCGTGTAAGTGGTGCCTACTTCACAGTATAGTTGCTCAAGTTTATTGATAACTACATTAATCGTTGTCTAAAATTTTGACTTAATTTTAGATTAAATGGAAAGAACCATTGACTTAATTCTTGATTAAAGGTTGAATCAACTACCATATCTTTCTATTCATATCTCTATCCTCGACTATCATGAGCATTATAATTTTCTTCAGTTTTTCTTTCTCTTCCCTCAGTAATACCTGGTTGGGAAGTCAGTTAATTAAAATAAAATCAATGCTTCAACCTGTATGTTAAGTTTTAGTACGTTCTCAGGCAGTTGTAGCTTGGTGATGTTTATTTTAAGTCCTACACTAATGCTGGCCTGAATGTTAAGCTGATGTAAAACCATTCTAAAGAGGTTAGTCATGGTTTTGTTGAGATAAAGAACTTTAATAAAGGAGTCAATTCTTTTATGTACATCATTTTTTGCTGGTGGTTATGTGTTTGAAACAGAAATAATGCTGGGGTAGGGAGGTTTCTGAAAGGATAGAAGATACAAGGAAAAAGTGAGGATTTAAGAGCTGCTTCTCGAAACTGTTGTTACATTTCCAGAACATTTGGGGTATAATGGCAAGATGACCTTTACAGAGTCATGTTGGACTACGTCAATTGAGATGTTGATCAAATAACTCAACTGTATGCAAAAGGCTTGAAATTAGAGTACTAAGAAAACAGTGTTGTGAAACAAGAAGTTTGAGGAAATAAATATAATTATATCTAAGAAAAATGAGAGAGATTCTGGGTCACTTCTGAATCCAATTGGATCCGCACTTCGTGGAAATGATTGCTCATGAATTTCACACTCGTTGATTGTGGATAAAATTACTGTCGCTTCAAATTGTATGGACTACAAGGAATTCTTAACCTAGCAGGATAAGAACTTCCAGTTTGAAAACCAACTGAATTGACTGAGTGGTTATTATAAAACACAGAAATAACCAAAAAAAAAGATATAAGGAAATAACCTTTGGGTTACTAGTATGATGCTTTTAAGCAGATGTTAACAGTCTGAAATACTCTGGAGCTTAAAAGACTGAGAAACAGAATTGAACTTAGAGCAAGAAAGAAACTTTTAGAAGACATTGGAAGTCAAAACAATCGCGTGCTTCCCAGCTCGATTCAACATTGTGCTGAAGCTTCTTAACGAGTTGCCTAGGTTCCCATTCTAGAACATTTAGAATTACCTTAAATAAGAAATCACAAAGTACAGCCTTTGGCTAATTATATGAAGCTTCTAAGCAAAATATTGTGAATGGTCTCAAACACCCTCGAGCCTATGAACTGAGATGCAAACCAACAACTAGGCAAGAATAAAGTTCTTATAAGACAGCTGGACTCAATATATGGTCATATGAATTACCAGCTAGATCCATCATTGCATCAAAGCATTAGACTGAAGCTTCTTGCTACTACAGTCTACTGTGTATTTTTGTTGGGAGGAGTCCCTTTCTTGCTCCTAGATTTCTGGTTGACATGTGTGTGCTTCTTGTGGAGATTGTAGTCGTGCTTCTTCATTATTGAGAACACTGGTGATATTTCCTTTTCATTACGTTGAAAATATATATTTTTGCTAAATATTCTTTTTGATTCCTTTTTAATGTAGCTGATGATTTTAATGAAGTTATTAACTATGGTAAATTGCTTTACACACATGATAACTTGGACAAAATCAAGTTTGGTCCCTAACAATACATTTTTCCTTCCGTTTTTGTTTTGCTTTATGCAATTGTGTCGAATATTGGTTTTACACGAGTTCTTTACAATATGTCAAATGTTAGAATAATCCACTCCACTCCGCTTCTATTGCAACACCAGATTCCTTTTCTAGGAGAATTATCATTTACTATGATTTTAGTCATCAACTTCCGGGAAAGGGTATGGGATGGATTTGCTTGATAGGTTTAACCAAATTGACTTACGGGAGAACGTATTGATATTTCATAGGAAATTTTCTAGGACATGAAAATATGAAATTGATTCAATAATTCATATCTTGTCTACTATGAGAGAGCGCATGTCAATAGTCACTATATATGCCTATTCCTAAAGAGGAACTTGTAGGCTTTGTTTTGGAAGTTGGGAATTCATGCATTGGAAATTGCGGATAATTTGGGTTTGGGTGGAAATTCCCACTTAGCCCGTGTTTGGCTAATGCTTATAACCGTTATTGGTTAAACCACTTTTTATCCATACATTTTGTGAGATTACAAGTACTACCCACTTATCCATAATTGTTTCTATCTATTTATAATTTAAATAGTCAATGAACACTTCCCAAACAAGCTTTTAATGCTATGAATGATGATGTGAAGCAATATAAGGGATGGGTATAGCTTATGACATGTTAATGATATCATTGGTCTGTTTCCTATTTAAAACCATGTAGAAAAAATGAAACTATTTACAAGGATAATCTAGAATTCTGAAGTTTTTATATGTGACTAGTTGCTTATTCTTGCATGCTTCAAACTTTTGCATATTTTCATAGAGCAGCATTTCTCTTTTCCTTGTTCTAGAATGGACATTTATGGCCGGTTTTCATTTTTGCTAATAGTGAATTCTGGGTCTTTAAAATTTAATTTTAAAAGCACATTTCTTTATTTACTTTGCTGTGCCTCCACTTATCTGGTCATTTTTTGTTGATGTATAAAAGAGTACGACAGCATACACATGCTAGGTGGGAAAATTTGAACTGCTTGAAAACATAGGAGGCAAACTTCTTTTGATCGATGTAATTATATACATTGTTTGGGAGAGATTTATCCTAGTGAAAAATGAATTTTTTTATTTTTTTATTTTTAGAATATGTGGTTGAAAGGTAGAATAACTTCATCTTGTCTCCAGTATTCTAAGATCTCAGTAGATGGGTATACTTAGAACCTGTACATTTTATTTAGGGGTCTTTATGAAACTTTCCCTGATGTATTCTAATTTTTAGGGCAACACACTGGTGCGGCAATATAAAAGACTGTAGTTCCTTTTTTCATATTAATAAAAAATGGAAAAAAAATGTGATAGCCTTGTATGTTTGGATTTTGAATAATAAGCATTGTAAAGGCATGATTAAATTTTTCCCTATCCCCTTGCCAAGTTAGACTATTAGATTTCTCAAGTAAATAGGATCACTTTCTAATCTGATCATAGCTACATATTAATTGATCCGTTCTAGTAATTCTGCTCAGCCACATGTATCTTGCCAGTTCTTTATTGTTAAATTTTAAGATAAATTAAAAAATGTTAGATTTCTTTTCATTATTATCATTCGAAGACTCAATTTACCTTTTCTTCTTATGTTGCTAGATGTTAGAATGCCCTTCTATATACGATTCATGTGGTATGGAAAGTACTCCCATGTCTCTATTGATTATAATTGGCACCGTCAGAATACACCATGACCTGGAAATAGTGTGAATGAGTCTCTATTTACTGGTCTGAAGACTAGCGCCTTTATACTATTGGTTCATTCATATGATATTGTACCTTTTATCTTGTATGTAGTATAGTTTACAAACTTGGTTAAAACCTGTGAATAGTGAAGCATTGGGATAGATTGTAAGCATCATTGATTATTGAAAAAGGTTGAAGGTTTGGCACACAAATCATCAGCTTGTTTGATTTGAAAGTGTTTTATTTTGCTGCCATACTTCTCTAGAGAGGTTCTCGTTGAGGATATACAGATGCATCAATGAACGAAGAAAGGAAAAAGCGTTTCTGGCAGCAATAGTTGCCTTTTCTGTTATTATATGATCTTTTTTCATTTTCTTTTTCTTAATTGCTGGTTGTTTGATTGAATCTCTTCTTTTACATGTAAATTTTTAATTAGGACTTTGTTTTGTTATGTCTGTAGTTCAGACTATGCAAGTTTCCTGATTACAAAGATTTGCAGTTGGATATTAATCCATGAAAAATTGAAAATTTTCTAAATGGGCAATAGGAATTTTTATGACTGGCTATATCATTCGCCATGAAATTTAAAACAATACAGTTCAAGTTAGAATCTGTGATCATCTTCAGGAAAAGCGCAAAGAGAAAAAACACAAAAAGGAAAAGAAGAACAAGGAAAGAAAAGAAGGTAAAGAGAAAAAGGAGAGAGACAGAAGTGATGATAAACACAGAGTAAAGAAAGACCGGAAAGAAAAACACAAGAAGGACAAGGAGGAGGACAGGGGCAAAGGGAAAGAGAAAAGCAGCATCTCGGAGGAGGCAACAGTTGCTGGGAAACTTGAGGTAAACACTGGAGAGAAACTTCCTACAAATGGAGGACATGATAAAGACTCGAACATTTTTGTGGATGAATCAGAACAGGCTACTCAGTTTCAGGGTCAAAATGGGGGGAGATCTAAGCAGAACAGTTGGCGCTCTCTGGGGATTGAGGAATCAAAATTTGTGCAGGAGTTGGACAGGAGAATTAGAGATGATGAAATGGCTTCAAGGAGCCAGTTGCTTGGGAGGGTTTCAGATACCCAGAAAAGGGATCGAGATGCAGCTGTCAGAGATTCTTCTGGTATATTGGCAGAAGACAAGGGAAAGAACGAAGATAAGAGAGTTGATAATAGAAAAATGGGTGTGCAAGGATTTAGCAATGAGTTTATTGGAAATACAATTGCCCAGAACCTTTCTGGGATGGCTAAGAGTAAAGTTGAAGGGATACCCCGACTGGCTGAGGAACAAAATGATAGGATATTGCCAAGTAAAGAGAAATCTAAGGAAAGAGGTGACAATAATCGGGATGGCAAACAGAAGGATCTTGAGAGAGAGAGAGAGAGCCATAAAATTGACAATAAAAAGAAGAGGGAGAAGATAAAGGAGAAGACCAAGGGCAAAAGTGAAACTAAGGAAAGCACGCAGGTCATATCCAAAGATGTTGGCAGGAAGGAGACCAGCGGTGTTACCAGTTATAAAAGCCCACATATGTCGGAGGGCATCAACAGTTCTGCTGTTAGTGAGGGAAATTTGAGGAAAAGAAAAGATTTGGATTCCAATGGTTTTCTCCATGGTAAGTTCTCTCATTCAGTGGAATCCTTGGGATTAAATTCCCACTATATATTTGTATTTCAGTAATTATAAATAAGATACTTGCAGGGAAACTTTATTTGGCCACTGCCTAACATACTGTGCTTCTTAAGAATGCTTTCATTAGGTTTATGACCTCGGCGAACTCTTACTTTGATTCTGAATGATATTATACAAGCTTGTTCAACATCAATTAGCCTTACTCTAGGCTGATTATTGTTGCTTGCTTCGCAGATAGTGAAGTCAGGCACAATAAATTGCAGAGGCTCTCTCATCAATTGACAGAGAATGGAAGGAAACTCGAATCTGCCCGAATTCATTGCATATCTACCTTGGATAACCAAGAGGTTCCTAACAATTTCCTGGTGGATAACAAAGACACGAAGGTGAATGATAAAATTGAAGTCCAAAAACCGATTTCAACTAAATCTAAGCCTTCTGCTACAAGTATGTTAAGAGATCAAATTGTCGAATCATCAAAGAAATCTCCCCATCCTGATTCCAGGTATGTTACTGAAGTACCCAATGAATCAATGAGGGAGGATCAAATTGCTGAAGCATCAAATAGACCTCCCCATCCAGATACCAGGTATCTGAATGAGATACTCGCGGTGCCCAAGTTGGAGTTGCCCATTGTTGATGACCAGGAATGGTTGTTTACCCCTAAAGATCCTCCATCAAATAGCAAGGTGGGCTCAGCTGCGGTCAATGAGGAGTTGCACGTATGGTCTCAAGCTGTGCATTTAGAATCAGCCGATATTTATGCCCTGCCATATGTTGTTCCTTACTGATTGTCATTTATTCAGTGCTATCTGATGCAAGAAGCTTGATTATGTTGTTGTACCGGGCTCTTCAGATAAACCTGGTGTACTGACTTGGATTCTCGGCTTATCACACCTTTTCAAGTTGTGTTATGGGGTGGCATTTTTGCATGGTTTGCCAGGTTCGGAAATTGTCTAGATCACTCGGAATCCATGGCCACCTTAAGTCTAGGATTACGAAGAGGTAATCATCTCAAAATTCAACTGTTGTCATACCAGAAACTTTCATGAGGTGTATAGGATAAGATTGGCCAGTATTGTGGAGGACGATGCATAAGCTTTTCTAGTTTATTGCGTTAAGTTGATATGCTCTCCTTTCTAATTGAGTGTAAGAGTAGCTCGAGTTTCGCTTCACCACAATTTTGATCTGTAACATAGAACTCCAATTTATATGTAATGTAAGAAGGAAAAGGAATGGTAGTACTATTCATTTCATTAACTTAGTTATTGTTCATCACACTGTTCAGCTTTATGATTTGCTCATATGTTCTGGTTTTTGTGATGGTATATGTTATGATAATTGTTGCTATTCTGTAATTCTGGAGAAGACAGTGGTAAAACTATGGGAAATTACACTGGGCATTTATCAGCCCTTGTTTGAGTCCGGGAAAATGCATTTTTAATAGTGTATTGATGGAAAATGTATGGTTGAAAAATAAAGAAAAGTTCTGGAGTTACTTGTTTGATTTGTGGCTTGTTGTTTGAATTTTTATGTAAGAATTTAAAAGGAAAAAAAAAATTTGATATATATAGTTTTTGACTAGAAACCAGACCAGAGTTTTTTAATGATTTATTGTTGATTAAAAGAATATATATATATATATAGAGTTTTTTTATTATATATTTTTTTTAAAAAGTATATATATATATATATATATATATATATATATATATATATTCATCTTATTTGGCACTAAATTCCTTTTTCCTTTTACTTAAAAACAATATTGATATCGGTTTTGGTATTACTCAAAGAATTAGTTGTTCCAATTGAAAGTGAAGTAAATATTTTGATCATTTTTTACTCAACTTTTTACACGGCCGTCTATGATTATGTAACTTATAAGTTCTCATAAATGAGTAGTGGTGAGACTTGAATTGAATATTTGTTTCTCTCGTTGAATTATGTCAAATCGTTTCATTTGAAGGTTGAAGTCGTTAAGAGGTACACATTTATTTAATTAGATATTATCTTTACGTTGTTGAATCACATTCATAAAGTATAATAATCCATAATATTCCATGGTTACACAATTACATATACTATTAAGATTATAAAAATTTCAAGTCCATAATAATATCGCAAAGATTATGATCCCTAAATTGTGTCTTTGCAATTGTGACCTTGTTGTGATTATAAGTTGCATGTATGTGATCGTAACATGTTTAGTTAAATTAAAGGTCACAATATTTTATTAGATGTCACCACCTGATTTTTGAAAAAATAAAAAATAAAAAAATAAAATCCACATGTTAGTTTTAAAAAATGTAATTTGAAACCTTTGTGGTTATGTATTTTTTTTTTTTTTTGACTTTTTATCAATAAAAACTCCTAAAAATAGTTCCATGGTCAATTGGCTTGTTGATTAAAAAATAAACGACTTCTTAATGTTTTTAGAGAGATTAGTATATTCAACATAATCTAATCAAGATTGTCGGTTGAACCCCGATTTATTTGCAGAACGATCCTAATATGATCAAGATACGATGCATTGATGTCATGATTGGATTGTTTTATTCGTTTTGAATTAAATAATTATGGATTGAACATATTCTTGTTATACGATGATTCACATTTACAAAGGGACAATATATGTATTATTTTTAACCAATACAATAAAATAGGCTAGCAAGTACAATATCTAGAAAGCCCATAAAATTGTCCCTAGTTTGGTATCCCTCTAGAATCTATTTATTCAAAATATTGTTCCCAAGTAATTTTTGATTGTAAATCGTTACGGCATTTGTTCAAGCGGTCCAGCCCATGTTTGCATGCCAAATAGGACAATGGTTCTAAATTAATTGTGGTCCATTTTTATCTATTTTTTTTTAAAAATCCATATGTCAAATTCTACTTTTAGATGTCAAATCTAGTTATTTGGTATATTCTTATCAATTTAGATTACATTTTGAAGTTGTTGGAGATAGACTTGAATGGTATCGAGCTCCTATAAGCCTGCATCGAAAAATAGGTTGTGCTAAGTTTGACCATTTTTATACCTCTAAAGCAAAATGGTTAACCCTAAAAGATGATGCTAATCATTGTACAACTGTTTCAGGATGAGTTTATGTTAACAATGCTTGTCTTCATAAAAGTGTTATAGTACAAATGTACAAAATGGTGAAATGCAAACTTAATTATCGCTTCACGCTGCATTAGTTAGTATCGGAGCTCAATCATGTTCCCGATAGAGATGAGTTGGTATTCACAAAATCCAATGGCAGAGGTTTTGTTTTGGAACCAAACCATTTTTACTACTTTCAATAATTCAAAGGAGTAAGAATCTTTGGATTTCAGTTACCACACATCCCCAATCTTCGAAGAAGAAATTGAAGAATGTGTATTTTGGTATGAATAATTACGATGGATCTCTAATTTTCGATGAGGAGATTGAAGAATTTTTCAATTTGGATAATGACAAATTCAATAATGTCCTAGTTTCTTGCGACAAGTCAAATGTCAAAATCTTTAAAGAATTGTTCAAGAAATTCAAGAAATAAAATTTCAATACGACAACTATAAATGTCGCAAAATTTGAAAGCAGGTGACAACTATGTTCCTGGTTTTGGAACTGTTTTGCGTGAGTTAGTCGCTAACAATTAAAAAGGGATCAGACGATTGTGTAAGGGACAAACCTCTTGAGACAAAATCCCAAAAATGGGTGATTTTATTGGCGATAACTTTACAATTGGAAAATAAAAACAGAATGCCTCCAAGGGGCGCAAGCACACGAGTTATTGAAAAGAAGTGTTTAAATCTAAACTAAGAAATTTAAAATTACATATTCTCTGTTTGAGAGTATTTGATTCGGGGTCTTTTGCTCCATGTCTTTTCTTCCTTTTATACTCTCTGGATGATCTCTTCGTGATCAACCACTTAAAAACTGCTTGATCGCTCTATAACTGCTCACTTTCTTCATAGTGGCCAACTTGTCATGGAATTGCCTTCTCTAACTGCTACCATCACTTTTGTCGTTCAACCGTCTTCAATTGAATTCCTTGAATCGTGGAACGTGATAGGGCTACTCAATAACTGCTTCATTAACCGCACATTTGGGTAACCATAACATCTTATGTTTGCTAAGATCTTGGGCGACTCGAAGGTTTGGGTGAGCACAGGGTCATAGTTCTGGGCGACTGCATGGCAATCCATTCGCTCAAATCTTGGGCGACTTGTAACCCTGGACGATGGTATTACCGCGTTCATGAGCTCCCCTATTTGGGCCTTTATCATGCATTTCCCTGATTGGACCGTTCTTTGGGCTATCTGATTTGGGGATCCTCCAATTGGGCTTCATTATTTGAGCTATTCGATTTGGACTGAACTTTCGTGTGTCAACAATTACCCCCCAATATGGCAGAATTAATACCAATTATTAATTTTTGCCATATTCACTTTGTGTTTCCCAGCAACATTCGAAATTCCCAAAAATTTCAATCATTGTTTTCTTCCATAGTCTGAAAAGGTGCGACGTTTGCAAACCCTTATAACCCCCAAATACACGCATTTTCATTGCACCACTAAATCACGCCTCATTTTCATTGCACCACTTCCAGAACTCCTCATTCGGCCATTTATAACTTCGAACTTCCTTGCACCAGCCAATGTTGAACTCAATGAGTTCTATCTAGGTCCTTCATTTAACAACGCCGAAGCCATCGAACAAGTGGCGGTCGGTCAGCTGTTCCCTTGTACTCAAGGCCCTCCGTTTCTAAACTCTTTGCCGCTGAGGCCGCTTCGCGAAAGAGGTATTCGCACTTGGCCTAAATTTGATGCCGTTTTCTGTAGATGACATGCTCGCCTTGTGGACCATGGTCCTACTAAGGCCATTTTTGATAGTGCTAGGATTTCTGATTTGCTAGAAATCTCTCTTCAACCCCCTATTTTTGATCCAGGACTTTTTCCAATCGCTTTAAGTTTTTGGTTTTCTGAGTATAATACTTTTGTTTTCCCTCTTGGCTCCATATCCATTACCTTAAGAGATGTTGGAGCCCTAGTAAATTTGCCACCTTTGGGCGATACCATTTTCCCTGGTATTTTAATTTCTGGTGTCGCCCCAAAATTTGATAGAAAACTCACCGAGTCTTATTCAAGCCTGCAAACCTGTCATAACCACTCGAGCGCTGATCCTTCCCATGCTGAGCGTGTGGCTTTTCTTCAGATTTGGCTTTGTAAATACATTCTGTGTGTGCCAAGCCTGAAGTCCTCCATGAGCTATTTACCCATAGCGCACGAATTGGCGCGTGGTAGGCCTCTAAATTTGTGTTCTTTCTTTTTAGCTGCCCTCTATAGAGGCATGACTTCTCTTCAATCCCAATTGAAGAATGGTGCATCTCCCACTGGCAGTGGGCCTCTTTGGTTCACTCAAATGTGGTTGAGAGCCTATTTTCCATCGCTTGGTGCTCCATCTTTTTCCAGTCCTTCTGCTAGCTGCTATGGGCTAGCCATTGATCCCTTGACTCCTGTAAATATGTCTAGAAGGGATATTTTTTCATTCTTTTATACTTTGGATTCAATCCCTTCCTTCTTTTTTTTCTCCCTTTTTGACTCCGGATTATGTGCAACCTCCATCCACTATGGATAGTGTAAGCACCTCTCTGTTCATTTGGATTCAATTTTTGACCGGGAGAGAGTTGTTCCATGATATTTTGACTGGAATCAATGCCAAAGCTAGGGTTGAAATAAACGCTTCCCAATTTTTTGCTCACCAACTTGGCTTTGGCCAAACTTGGCCCGTTCCCCCTTGCAATTCAAGAAATTTAATAGACCGCTTCCACACCATTAATAAGGCAGAGGCAGAAGCTATAGATGCTCGCATTATTCTTTTGACGAGCAACTTTTCATTAGCCACTTTCAATCCTAGCTGTGCCATTCATCCCCTTTTTGAACGACTTTGGCCGTCAGTGAAGCGCAGATTGTTTGTGACTGATGCCAATCGTGCTTTCCATTCACTGGACCAACCAAACATTTCTTTCACCTCTCCTGTTTTGGTCACTCCCGTGTCCATTAGGAGTTCCTCTTCCCCTGCTCATGCTAAACAGTTTGCCCGTCCATCGACTTCTCTTCCTGCCAAGCCAAGCCCACTGCAGCTAAAAGTGCCCCAAACTGCAAATGGCCAGCCTCAGCATCTCCTATTTTGGAGGATGATGATGATGACACCCCTCTCATCGTCAGGAGGAAGGTAATTAAATTGGTTTACTCACAAGCATACCTTTCCATACTTGAAACTTTTCTATGTGTTGATGGTTTATTTATATTTCTCAGAAAAGTTCAGCCTCTCCCTTGAAGGCTTTGGTGTTGGCAGCTCCTGTTCCATCATCCTCTGATGAGGCTGCTTCGTCCAAACCAGTTGATGAAGGGACTACGCTTAAAGAGAAATCTTTAGTCCCAGAATCTTCATCGCAACCAACGGATAAGCCACCTTCTTCCCAGGGCGTCGACCCCCGAAACGTCGAAGCAAAAGGTAATTCATTTTTTGATGCTTCACCTTTGTTTGTGCTATTGGTTTTTTATTTGTTGCTTTTTGAGTTCTGTAGATGCTCCCATGAGTCTGCCCGTTGCAGCAAGTTCTTCTCGCTTAGACAAGGGGAAGTCCTCACGAATGGTGGAGCCACAGGTGGTAGATTTGGCTGGGGATATGCCACCTTCCAAGATTGCTGATGAGGTAATCTTTGCTTCACCTTTACTTTCACTTTGTTTAGTATAGTGAAAACCTTCAATGTTGGTAACTTTCTTTACAGGATGCTGATAAAATTGTACGTTCCATCCAAGACTTGTTCACTTCCTGGGGGCAAGTCAAGACATCTCGCCCTGCTTCAGCCAGTCGTCCTTTTGCTTCTTCAGAGGAAGATATGAAGTTCCTCAAGCAGTCGATATTTGAGTATGTGTCTTTCATGGCTATGGACATTGGTAAGGCTAGTGCTGCCAAGTATAAAGAGAAGCTTGAGCATTTGAATGCGAAATTGGAGCAAGCACTGACACTTCCGTCGCTCAATCTTTTTGCTGATTTTAAAACGACGTTGAAAGTTGTCCATTCCGAGGTCCTCTCCTTGCTGGCAAAAAATGTTGAACTGAAGGCCAAAAGTACTTAATATCTTCGCGCTGTATCTGAAAAGAGTCCTTGCTTCTGGAGATCAACAAAGCTGAGGACGAGTT